CTGGTGATGCAAGGCCCTTCGCGCTAATATCTCCATGCACTCGCGCTCCCTTCTGGCACGCGCACCTGTTCGCAGTTCACTGAGTCTCTGGTACCTCTTGTCTGTAAATAAGTAGCTGGAGCCAGCAGTTGGTTAGCCTAGCTTAGCATAAAGACTGAAAACTAGCTAGCCTGACACTAAAAAGCACAGTAATTTGAACGTTGTATCTTTTTGTTCAATCTGTACAAAAACCATAGACAATATAAAATATAGACATATGGTCTGTTTGATGTCACCCATCGGTGTATGTAGAGCCGTTGTGAAGCTCAGTGTGGTCGGCAGAAGTTGTGAATTTTTGGTAAAATGTGTGACAAAACAGCATCATAAAGAAGTACTGCAGAGATTCCCTGTCCTACAAATCCCTTCACCAGAAAACAAGATTGGTACAGAGCGCAACAAATGTCACACACATTCCCACTAGTCGTGAATCATATCGCAGTCACGTCAATCGCAATAGGAGGTTACTTAAAGTGATACCAACTCCACCCAACATCCATCCTGAGTATCAAGCAGTCATCACCTGCAGACCTGAAACATCAACAGATATTTAAACCACACACAGAATAATCCACTTCTCTGCTGTCCACCTGTACGCTCAGTAGGCTCCATACATTGAGAACAATATGTCTAAACACCAAGCTGCCACATCATTACAACTTGTACGTACTGGTTTGCACATGTTAGAGCACACTGCTCTCCCATTGGTCAGGAGAACTGCTGTGTCATAGCTTCCTCACTGGCTAACCTGATGCTGCACTTGCCCAACAAAATGTAGCTGGAGGTCCTGGCAAGGATGGAGATAAAAATAAAAAAAAAACATGATGTCATGACTCACATTTTCATCTGAAATTAACCAAAAACAGGAGATATAGGCGTGTTGCATCCCTTTAACGGGATGAGGCAACAGATCAAATAAAAACTGTATCATCAATCAGTGCTCACACCCTGATACCGTCTCCTCGCTGCTGCAGGACAGTGCTGTCTGACTGAAGGCTATTGATTGAACACACAGGAAGGGGGCACAGCTCTATTAAAGACAAAGCAGGCACAGGGCCTTTTACCCAAAGAGACCACAAGGGGATGACAAGAGGACTAATAGCACACAATATCTATTATAGAGAGTCTCCTTACTGGGTAGTTTCAGAGATGAAACAAAAAAGAATCCATGGAGAAAACAAGAAAAGAATAAAGACACAGAAAAGGGAGGAAGTCACGGAGGGCTGCAAGACACAGACAACTGTACACGAGGAGGAAAAGAGCACAAACAAATCAGAATATGAAATGACAAAGGGAAAAAGGGAGATAAAGACAGAGAATACAAGATGGAGACAGAGAGTAGGAGATACAGGATGGGATAAAGAAATAGATGGAAAAAGTCAGGCACACAAATGGAGAAGATGGGGAAGGGGAGGAGGTTGCAAGGAGAGGTAGACAGGGTGTGACGGAGAGAAAATGAAGATGAGC